CACGCCCCGGCACGCAGCAAGGTGACTTATTTATACTGTGTCCTAACTGATGCTCCATCTCTTTTTTTTTTGTTCTGTTCTTTGTTTTGCTGGAAACTCCTTGCTGTAGCTGGCAAAGCGAGGACAGCCGCTCCCCGTAGCCGCGCCGAGGCGCGAGCGCGTCGGGCGCTGGAGACGTTTCGTTCTGCGATCCCACTTCCCCTTCGTGTGCAGAGCATGAACCATAATCGACCTTCTGCAGCTATATAACCCCACACATTTACACAGCAGTCGAAAGGCAAAGGTATTACACGCACATAGAGTTAGGCTAGAAGAAGAAACGATGCACAGGATGAGGGAGGCTGTTCACTAAACCGGACGCTGTCAGGAAGAGGTGGTTTTTTTTCTGGAGTACTGAGTACGTGATTCGCCAGCAGAAAGGGTCATTTTCTGTCGTGTGTGTGAGCGCGTGGGATTTTGGTTTCAATCACAATAATAAAAAAGGTTGGGTTGGATGAAGTATGTCTATTTTTAATGATGAAAACTGCATTACAATGTGCATTTTTATATACAAATTCTTACTATTTTTTTTAAATTCGCCTCTAGTATCTTCATTTCTAACCTAGTATATAGAGGTTTTTAGTTTTGTAAATACTTATTACATGCACTGTCTGTTATACTAAAAGTTGGTTTAAAATGCACTCTTTTTGTGATCAGAAACTGGCCTTCTCTTCAGAACTAAAACTACAGTACTTGATTGTATTGACAAAACATCAATAAAACCTATTGTACAAAAGGTGGCTTGGCTGTGCCTCTGTCCTGCTGCTCAGTCTTGCTGAGAGCAACTCTCACAGACCTCACATCCAGCTCACTCCTTCCCAGCACCTCTGCTTGCTAGCCAGCATTCTTAGGTAAGGTGCTTTCTTATGATTAAAGAAAAGATCCCTGTCTCCAGTCCATTTTTAGAAAAGGATGAAATCCAGGCCCCTTCCAGACTGGCAAGTATTAATTTGAGGAATTTAAGGCAAAGTGTTGGGGGTTCCCTTTTCTGTGTCTTTTCCACAACACTTTTTTTCTGCTGTTACACAACCTTGTCCACAGCCAAACTCCACATCCTGAGAGGGCAGTTCAGTAAACACACAGAAGAAATGGTGAATCAATCACCTGCAAGCAAATCACTTCCAGAGCCTACAGTACAAAAAATAAAGAGGAAAATATGTATTCCCACTTATCTTTTACCTGGAGGAGATGTTCCTTGTTGCAGGGGAAGCACCTCCAGAGAAGCCCGTTTTCCTCCTTCAGAGCTGCTGCTGAAGAGCCAGAGATTGTCCTGCTGCAGGTGCAGGGGCACCCAGCACCCTCCCCGGGCTCTGCAGGATCCTCACACACCAGCCTCCAGCAGCTGAACTCCTTCCACGCGCGGCTCCTTGCTGCAGGCAGCCTGCAAAGGAAAAGGGGCCTCTCCAGTGGAGCTCCCACAAGGACCTGCCACCGAGAACCAGAGCTCCAGGGCTCTTCTCAACTCCAGCTTCCCCTCACTGCTCACAGCCAGGAGCAGGCACCCGAAAATCATTGTCACTGCAGATTCCCAGAGCTGAAACTCACCCCGAAGGAAGCGTGAATCTCAGCAACAGGCACAATGTCTCTGTCCAGCTCCGAGCAACTTCCATCCTGCCTGCTAGAGAGATTCCAAGAAGCTGGAACAGAAGCAGTTTCAGGCTGAGTCTTAGAGTGAAGTGGAGAGCAGCAGCCCAGGGGGTTTCACACCACTCCTCTTGTCATGTAGGATGCAAACAACGTCATGACTTGAATGAAAAGTCAGGAGCAGTGGTTAATTAACAAAGATAACTGAGTGATTTTATTTATTTCCAGGAAAGTTGGAGCTAATTGCTTTAGTACACATTTGAATTCTGGCCTAAAATGAGCTCTCTTTTTTAAACAGGAGCTTTTTTTGTTCTCCATGAGTTCCAAACATTTAAAGTTATAAAGCTGCTTTAAAAGGAAAATATCTTCTTTCAGTTGAATCTGTATGTTCACACTCCTGGCAGAATAATATGAGGTGTAAAATGTCAGGATTCTCACATCTGCAGCACAATACATAACTATACAATAGACCAAAATTCCACATTCTCAAGACAAGAATTCATTTCTAGAAGGGGAACCCATAAAGCACCCCAGAGGGGACTGGTGCCAGATGGGAGCAGCTCCAGGAGAGCCTGGAAGGACCTGGGGCAGGCAGATCTCCCACGAGTGCCAGCAGGGAGGGGGCAGAACAGTCACTCCCCAGAGTCACAGAAACACCAGGGATTACACACAAACACACGGGCACACTCAAATTTATAAACATTTCCATAGGATGACAGCTCACCTCTCTCCTTTCGTTTTCAATTATTAAAAAGCTTTTAACTCTTTTCAGACAAGCTGTTCCTCCTCTTTTGTTCAGCTCCACTGGGCAAAGGTTTGAATAAACTGGAAACTGGAACAGTGCAGCTTTGCTTCAGTACTCCTAGCCAACAGTGCCAGCTCCAATGCACAAATTGTTTTAAACTCTGATAAGTTCCCCCCCAATTAACCTACCTTCCCCTTTATTTCCCAATCGTTCTTACCAAGTTTTGAGGCTGTGAGAAGTAACTCCCATGTCCTGC